GAGTATAGAAATTATAAGGTATAAATGCGATAATCTAATTATTACCTAAATCTGGCATGGTGGACTTTGTCATATAGATGAAAAGAAATTCCAAAGTTACATAGAGATGTATACTTGGGATTAATTGATTTTAACAAGTACAAATTATACATGTTTAGCACAATGACCAAATCTTCTTTTACTTGAAAAGAAAAAGATTAGCATAATTACTGGTCTAATGCATAGTGATGCATATGGACTCGTGTCAATTAATGTCAAGTAATGTTTCTCTTGTTTCATCAATGATCATGTATACTTGATGAAAACTCAAACATGAAACTCTTGAAAAGTTCAAGGGATTCAAACTAGAAGTAGAGAAACAAATAGGTAAATATACCCTCACATTAAGATTCGATCAAGTGAGAGTATCTTAAAGATAAAAATCTAGATTATCTAAGAGAGAATGAGATTATCTTGCAGTGGACTCCTCCACATACACTGCAGTATAGTGGTGTATCTAAAAGGAGGAATCGTTAACTATTAGATATAATGCGATTAATAAAGCCATGTAAATCTCCCAAAATTATTTTGGGGTCATGCATTGGTTGTAGTGTGCAACACACTAAATCATGTCACACCTAAGTTGGTTAACAGAACTCTATACGAGTTATGGAAAGGCAGTAGTCCCAATTTTTCTCATATAAAAGTTTGGGGCCATGACGCTTATTTGAAGCGCCTTGAATCGGATAAGTTTGACAGTAAATCTGATAAATATGTATTTGTGGGGATATTCAAATAAGACATTTGAATATAAATTCTATCATCATGAAGAAAGTCTTCGTTTCACGATATATCGTCTTCTTAGAGAAAATGTTTATTTTAGGGGAGGACAGTGGGAGCAAAATAGAACTTGAAAGAGTTCAAGAGTCCACAGATACAGTTAACCAAGTAGATAAATCCAAGTTTGATCCCATATCTGATATGGGACATACTCTTAATCAGGGAATAGAGACTTCTGAGGACATGTCAGCTCTATGAGAGTCTAGTAGGATCATTCGACCTTCAAGAAGGTGTGAATCCGTGATTACTAATCATGTATTACTGATTCAGGATGATGAACCTACTAGTTGTACCAAAATAAAGTCAAGTGTTGACTTAAAAGAAACAACAAGGTGTTATGATACTCGAGATGAACTCGGCGTATGTGAACAAGGTTTGGACCTTGGTCAAGCGTCTTGATGGAATAAAATTCATAAGGTTTTGTAAATAGTTTACAAGAGAAATGTCGATATGAATGTGAATATTCATATATACAAAGAAAAGCTAGAAGCAAATGTTAAGTGTTGACCTTGATGAAATCTTTCTCCTGTGGCCTTGCTGAAGTCCATTCGGGTTTTACTTGCAACAGTTGCATATCGTAAATATAGGTTAAGATAAGTCTCTATGGAGCTGAAATCTTCGATTTGATGAAAAAAATCAAAGTGTTTGATTTTATCAAATTTGAAGACAAATTGTGTGATCACAAGAAGATAGTGGAGCATTGTCGTATTCCTAATAGTATAGAAAACAACATCCCTATGTTTCAATCGTTGAAATAATGGTTGTTAAAAGATTTATTCATGAACGATATGGGAGAAGCAACTTGATCTATAGAGGTAGATTTAGAAGATTGCTTAACTTATCCCAATTTACATAGATGAAATCTTCAGAAGATTTCATATGGAGAAACTGGTTTACTCTTAAGCGGTATGTTGGAAAGGTTCCAAACGTAAAGCAACCGTTGATTCAATAGTAGAAACATAATACATGATTACTTCAAAAGTAGCAAAGAGTTGAAATCTGGATCATGATGTTCATAAATGAACTTGGAGTAGTTCCTGATATTGTTGATCACATGCCATTGTATTGTGATAACAATAGAGTCATTGCGAAAGCGAAGGAACTGATGTCTTATCGATGATCCAAACATGTATTAAGACGGTATAATCTCATCAGAGAGATAATACATAGAAATGACGTAAAGAGAAGAACAAATTTTCCCATTTAACAATATTGCAGATCAACTGACAAAGAGTTGTCGCTACATAAACATGATCGTCATGTAGACTTATGATTGATTGGATCTAGTGCAAGTGGGAATTTGTAAGTATTATGCCTTAGGTCTAATCAACTTTGGATATAAATACTTTTGATATATAATTAATGCAATTTAATGGCAGATCTATTATTTAATTAATAGACAATTAAATAAATAATAGAATCCGTAGATTCAAATCTTCGTAATTTGTTAATCACAAGGAGTTGTGATTGTGAAATACAAATTACATCTGATTGAATCTTAAATCGTCCTTGATCGTAAGTAATAACGAGATACAGATATCGTTGTTACGGATAGACCATCACGTGTGGCATTTCTTACCTGTGAAGTAAGTAGCTGATCTCACAAGTTAAAGTGTGGTGACACTTAAATGAACACGTGGAGTGAAAGATATGATCATAATCGAGATTGACAAACTTCCATATCTCGTAATTGATCGGATCATATTGACGAAGGGATTATAGTTTCACGGTAAACGAACGAGTTTGGTTTTGTCATACCACGTGACATTTTTCGTCACGAATATTGCCCTGACACATTGCTAGTGTCAATTGATGATAAATTAAAAGGGTATTTTAATTTATCAATTTTGATTAGATCAAAATAATATTTTACGTCATTAGGCATCGTGATCGGGAGCCTGATGGGTCGCATACAAAAAAGAATTGAAAGATTGCAATTTGTCAATTAATTAATTTAACAATCGTTGAATAAATTAATTAATTGGGTTGGTTATTTATAGGCCCGAGTTAATTAATTGGATTAATTAATTCACGTATCGGATTTAATTAAATGGATTACTTAAATATTGGACTGGACCGGACCAGGCCCGTTTGGGTTTATATAAATACATGGCTAGAATTTTCAATCCATGTGATTTTTCCTCATAATTATTCTTGCTAGCACAAGAGGAGAAAATCCTGATAGCTGCAATCTTGTATTCTGTGGGGATCACTGTTGGAGGTTAGACAATTGGACAACTGTGGGTGGCGAATCAAGATTGCTGGAACGAAAAGAAAAACAAAAGGTTTGCAGAATTCTTTAAAAGTACAATCTTTATCACGATTTCTATCTAAACACAAAGGGATCTTCGGTGAGAATCAAATAATTTTAATTTTTCGCTGTGTATGTATAAGTAGATTCCCAACAAAATCTAGGGAGCTTCCATGGGCGTGGGGTGTAATATCAAAACACAAAAAACTTTTTAAATTTTTTGAAATTTTTAAAAGGTGTGGAGTGGGGTTCGCGTGGGGGTGTAACTTGAAAAAAGTTTTCAATCTTTGAAAAAATTCTGTAGGTGGGTGGGGTAGGTTCCCTAGGTTGGATTAGGGGGAGGTGAGGTGGGGTGAGATAATTAATTATATATATATAATTTTTTTGAATTAATACATGAATTTTGAAATAATTTGACCAGTTTGTTAATTTTGAAATATAATTCTAGGAGTCATGTATTGTTCTCGTGCAAAAAATAAAGTTGAAATTTTTCACATACCTCCAAACTGTCAATAAATGCAACACATTCTATTCTCATAATGAATAAAAATGCATTCAATATTATCATAACCTGGACTACATTTCCATCGTTGAAAATATTTATATTTTGTTAGCTCTGACTCCTTTTTTTTTTTAATATTCAAGTATCCACTTTACAGTGACTAAATCCTGGAGTTTACACCTTGGCCTCTCAAGCTACAGACAGGTTAAACCACATGTTATGCCCCAAACTGACCAATGCTCAAGAACCCCCCAATTGATCTGCCAAAGTGTTAAGCAAGTCGTTTCCCATCTTTGCACATTGCCTTCTAGTAGAGCTCCTGCCTTCCAGGATAAATTCTGCCTCCAGGAGAATATCTACCTTCCAAGAGCCTTTCAGGAATCGAACTCACGATCTCTGATCTGCCAGCCTTGAAACGCCCTCATCTTTGCCAGTTGGAATGTGCCCTGGGGGGCTTGTTAAATCTGACTCTTGTTTACAACCGTAGGTGAACATGAATTTATTCGATTACATGAATGAAAGGATTCTATGAAAAAGAAAGTCGAATTAGACAAACTGTCATTTTGCAACAGATATTATCGCTTAATTAATAAAAAATGATATAATTTAATAATTTACAAAGAACATATCAATTCTCTAGAAAAGAGAAAGTCAAACTAGACAAGACATATCTAGTTCAAATCATTCTTTTGGTTCTACGTAGATTAGTTACAAATCAATATCTTATTTAAAAAATAAAAAAATATAAAAAAATAAAAAAAGGGAAAGAAAGCAGAAGAGAATAAAAAAATGATTGAGTTGATACAAAGTTGAATAACACCAAACATGCATTTGACCTTGATTTTAATGAGAGATTGGAAAAAAAATTATTTTTTGAATCATAAGTTTTGATAAAAATTGATAAGAGAGAGTTTTATAGGGATTAAAATTAGATTTTTTTAGTAGATTGTGATAGATGTTTTTGAAATATGTGGTTGAAAAGTTGTGGGTCCGTGAAAGATATTAATAATATTGATTGTTTGATTTTGATTTAAATTAAAGTCAGATTTTAATTCTAATCAAACAAGCTCTTGAATGTATATTGAAAAGTTATGGGAGCGGTTAAAATTAATTGTTAAGTTCAACTTATATATTAAACAACTAAAAGCTGAACCAAACAGGGCCATAGTAATTTAGTTAAAATATCTGCTAATAAATATATTATATTTAATTTTAACAACAAAGAGAAAAGAAATCTGTCCAATTCTTTGTTTATGAAATAAAAAAGCAATCCATTTAATGATTGGAAGTTAGACTATTGCTTATCTAAGCTGTTCTGTTTTTAACTTTTGCAGTCTTGTACAGTTAAGCTAACCGCCATAACTTTCCAGACTGCGTATATATTCATTTTGCATAGTAATTGGAAACCACCACTTTTTAAAGAAAATCTTCACAAGAAAACCGCTCCTCTCTCTACAAATTGTTCTTTCATCTTCTCAAACACTGAATTTTACAAGAATCCATAAAGAAGTTAAACAAGATTTGTAATTCATGGCGCATGATCAAAAGAAAGAAGAAGATCCAAGAAACGTTAATAATTCGTACCCTATGGATTTAAACTGCTACAATATTCTTGATGAAATCGGTAACAGGGATAGCGCCATTGTTTACAAGGCCATTTGCCTTCCCTTGAACTCTTCTGTGGTGGCCATTAAAGCCATTGACCTCGAAAAATTGAGGGCGGATTTTGACATTGTCCGCCATGAAGCCAAGACTATGACTCTTCTCTCCCACCCTAATATACTCCGACCCCACTGTTCTTTCACTGTTGATAGCCGCCTTTGGGTGGTGATGCCGTTCATGTCTGGAGGTTCTTTACAATCCATAATTTCTTCGTCTTATCCTGATGGCCTTTTGGAGTCGTGCATTTCCACAATTCTTAAAGAAACTCTATCTGCTCTATCTTATCTTCATGGACAAGGTCATTTGCATAGGGATATCAAGGCCGGTAACATTCTGATAGACTCTAATGGCTCGGTGAAGTTAGCGGATTTTGGGGTTTCCGCCTCAACTTACGAGTCAAATTCGTCGTATGGTTCTTTGTCATCTTCGTTTTCATCTTCTATGATGCTTACTGATGTTTCTGGTACCCCCTATTGGATTGCGCCGGAGGTGATACACTCACGTACTGGATATAATTTCAAGGCTGATATATGGTCTTTTGGAATTACTGCTTTGGAATTAGCCCATGGAAGGCCTCCTCTCTCTCATCTTCCTCCGTCGAAATCTTTGACAATGAAAATTACAGAACGTTTTAGGCTTTCTGATTATAAAAAGACAAAGGATATGAAGAATAAGAAATTCTCGAGATCTTTTAAGAATATGGTTGGTTTGTGTCTTGATCAAGATCCCTCCAAGAGACCGTGTGCAGAAATATTGTTGAAGCATTCATGTTTCAAGTATAGCAAGGGGCCTGAATTTCTTGTCAAGAATTTGTTGCAGGGTTTGCCAAGTTTAGAACGAAGATTCAAAGAGATGAAGACTCAGATGCCCTTATCATTGAACAAGACTGATGAAGAAGAAGAAGATGAAGATGAGTCTACCGGCAAAACCCCAAAACAAAAAGGGATTAGTGGGTGGAATTTTAATGAAGAACTTTTTGAACTGGACCCTGTGTTCCGATCTGACAAGAGACGAATCACATTTGGAGATGAAACTATCATTAAACACAAGGAATGGGACTCCGACAGGTCATCGAGTTTGAGTTCATCAGAACAAGTTTTGACTAAAACTGATCAAATTAGTGTCCAAGAATCAGGTGCTGATGGACAAGAGGGCAATGCAGGTGGTGGTCACAATGAAACCGTTGAATCCTCAGACGTTGGGAGCGGTGGTGCTGGTGGCGGCAGCAGAAGTGGCAGTGGCATTGACAGTGGAGATGATGGAATGGTGTTGGACACTAAAGTTTCCTAAGAAGACAGTATATGATGAGAGGCAACTAGTTAATCACATGATTGGTTCAATTCAAGGTGAAGATACTGCAAATCTAACCGTGGAAGACCAGTTGATGAAGGAGATTCAGAATTCGAAGGAGCAGCTGGAGAATGAGAAAAAGAATTCTGCACTGGAATTGGAACTGAAGTTTCTGAAGTTGCAGATATCCAATGAGTAATATCTTTGAATAAATTGATTCAAACAGTTGTAACTCACTTTTTTCCTACTTAGAATGGCACAAAAGTTGACTTTCAACAAATGGGATAGAGAGGCCTTCTTGAAAATCCATTCATCCATTGGTAGTATACGGATAACTATCTCTTGCACCAAAAGAAGCCCTTAAGAATAAAAGCTCTAGTTTCATGTATCTTTAATTTGTCAATGTTTTGCTAGGAATATTTTGTTACACACTTGATATTAGTTTAGGAGAGACACTGATATCATTTTATGTTCTCTTAGTACGAAACCATTTTGTAATTTGTACTTCTGCCTTGTATTTTGAGGTTGTCCTAGTGGACAAGCGTAATTCTTAATGGATGCCCAATAGAGGTTTAGGCATTAGAAGCGATACCGAACCTTTGGAGCTATGGTAAAAAGAAAAATAATAATAATAATAATAATAATAATAAAATCATGTGTTCTTGCTATTTTCTTGTTTTAACTTTCATCTCATGGTGGTAGTTTATTGACCTTGACCCTATAATGGTATCAGAGCGAGGTTAGATGCGACCCTTTTTTTTTTTTTTTGGCTATGGATATTCTGATATATCGATTCTTCTAAAACCTTAGATCTGCTATATTTAGTGAAGATCCTTCATGGTATTTCTCAATCAGGAAGATTTTGGAAAGACTTGGTATTATTGTATAATTTCCATTTGGAATTCACATCTGGTAACGATTACTCACTCTTCGTAATTTTGTTGTTGTCATTCCAAGATCATTAATAATTAAGCCAATGCAAGTTTTGAAAATTTGAAATTTAATCTCATGCTTTTCAAATATCGAAGTTAACTCTCTAAACTTATTAATTTTAACGAATTCTCAATTAATACTTCCTAATGATCAATTACAATTCAATGGTTAGTCTTTAATTGTTCTGAATCAACTCCAATTAAGTTATAGATAACCTTTTTCTCACCAATTGTATCCAAGTTGGAATTTTCCTATAATTAACATAATTACAAAAATCTTTAACAAGTACTGCCATATAATGCGATATGTAAGATCTATACCATAAACGATTGATTCATCTTAGTATCTTACTGAGAAATGTCTTCAACTTCTTAAAATAGATGGATTTTTTGACGATGATAATATACAAAAAAATAACTTTTGTAAGCAATGAAAACCAAGAAAACGAAATAGACCTCCATTTAAAATTGGAACTCATAAGTCAAGAAATACTATCATACGTGCACAGTGAAAGACTATGATACTTTGTCAAAAGATTCTTAGTGACAGAAGTATAGGTGGTAGCAGATAATTGAATGGAAAAGTTGATCGTGCTTTATATAGCCAATGATAGAAAGTTACGTGACATTATGCCAACATTTTTGTCTTCCGGTTGAGATCTAAATTAGATAGTTTCGTTATTTCTAAGGTCTGATAATAGACCAGATGTACATTGATAAGTTCAGGTCTACCACAATTATTTCAGGAAGTGCAAAGTCAATTACTTGCCTGAGTCATTGATATCCTTCAGTGCATTAAACTACAAGATACCTGAACAAATATGGTCAGGAACTATGCCTGATTATTCAAATCTTAGAACATTTGGGTGTGCAGCCTATCAATCTGGCACCAGATTGAGAATAAGTTAGACACAGATTAGTCTGTGTATCTATCTAAGAAATAAAAGGTTTCAAAAATATAATAAGCATGTCAGTAGTTTAATGAAGATATATTGATAAAACAAGAGATTATTTAGATGAAAAAGACTGGTTACAGAAATTAATAATGCTCAAACTAGTGAAGACCACCTTAACTCAAACTCAAATTAGTGGACTATGTAGATTTATGAGTAGTCCATGAGAAATACATGGGATGCTTTAAAACTTTTAAATAGGTATCTGAACGGAACAAAAAAATTTGGTCTAATGTTTAAAATGATCAAATATGGACTTCGTTTTATAGGTTGGTAGATTCTGATTTAGCTGAAAAATTAGATATTAGAAAATAAATAACTGCATATATGTTTGTCAAAAATGATATATTCATTAGTTGGAAATAATAGTTACAAACAGTAGTAGACCTTTCTTCTATATAAGAAGAGTATATACAGCTGCAACAGAAACTAAGGAATATGGCTCAAGGGGTACTTCATAGAACTTGCCTTTCTAGAAAATCAGGTGGAGTTATGAACTGATGGTATGAGTGCTATTTACTAAAGTATGAATGCAACATTCCATGACAGAACAAAACATATATGCTAAGTTCCACTTTATTAAGTGTGATTGAAAAGGTGTCACTAAATTGATTAAGATTTCAACTAAATGAAATATCAGCTAAAGCAAGTACAACTACTGAACAAGTTCAAGGACTTTTTGACACGACCTATCCCGAATCACCCTAGTGGACTCAAAACGTGACGTGCGCCGATAATATATGCTGACTAGATTTCAAATCTATCACCAAGGCTGACTATGGGTTATTTCAAAAAATGCAACAAAATCAAATACTTATATAAAATATAACGCGATGGGCCCAAAATATTTATTTCGTGCTTCATCAATATGAATTATAACACTCAACATGTCGTGTGGCTCTCATTCTAAAATCATTAGGCTCTTCCAACTAAAAACAATCAATTTTCCACCTGTAGGAAAATCACGGTAAAATATATGAGTTGATAGCTCAGTGAGTGGAAAAGTTCGAAAAGAATTATACTTTTTCATTTATACATTTTTACCGAATATCAAATTCATATCATTTGATAATTCATAAGCTACCATCATGTAATTATAGCCAAAAAGTGAAATATTTACATAAGGTCATAAAATATCATCTTAAAATCATGATATAGACTTCAGCTGATAATCATGCTATAATTTTATCACATCAAACGTACTTAAAAATCTACCAAAAATGTACTCTCTAACTGAAATATATAATCTGCCCCTCGGGCTAAAAACTTTCGCCACGGGCCTTTGGCCCCTCCGTGAATTAAAGTCGATCTCAAAAACCTCTCATAATTAATTCTAGAATACGGCCAAGCTCCCTCTATGAACTATATGTACACGATCAAGACTAAGTCAGGTCAAGACCCTCCGTGTAGGGTAGAACACGGCCAATGCCCCTCTGTGAACTAGAAGAATTACATAATCATGGATACTTTTCTTGTCGATCTCAATATTACGTTCCACATACCAAAACAAATCTCAATATCATATGTCACATATACCAAGTCACAAACATACAATAAATAATCCTTGAAATTCCACATGTATCATAGTAAAAGATATTTCCATAATAACCATGTTATTCGAACACATAATTGCATATAATTACTCATACTTTAACAATATACTTAATTTATAAATACTTTAAAAATATTTATATTTTTCCACTCACATTACAATCTTTGCAAAATCAACTCGATTGGTAAGCTGGTCTGATGTCTGTATCGTCGCCTGAAATACGATATAATTTTTAAATAAACAATTAATTATTTTAAATAATTTCAATAATTAAATAGGCGACACCCAAACTTAATCATTTCACGTTTAAGCGATTTCTAAAGTCTCTTTAATCACTAAAACTAGTTTTTCTTTTATCTTACTTAATTTCATAGTTTATTATACTTAATCCCTTCAATAAAATTGAATTTAATCTAATAATCTAACAACTATAAAATCGAACATAACTTGATAATAAGTAACTTTTTACTTACCTTTCATAATTGAGGAATTCAAGTCTAATAATGTAGACCACTTATTTTCTAACAGCATAGGTGAACTTTCCTATTTTTTTCTTTCTTTTCTCCTATTTTTTTCTTCTTTTTCCTTTCTTTTCCCTCCCTTTTTCTCTCTCTCGTTTCTTCTCTATTTTGTTTCATTTGTGTGTGTGTGTGTGTTATGTGTGTTGTGTGTGTAATTGGATAGGTTTTCAACTTGGGTGGATTGATATAAATCAATCCACCGCCTCATTATTATTTTTAGTTCCTTTTTTTTTTATATAAAGGTATTACACTCTTTGTGTATCTTGAACGGGGAATGTTTCTAATAAACTTTCTCTTAACTTAAAAGCAAGCATGCGAAGTTAAGATTGGTTATCTCCATTTCACTTTTATATGACCTTAAGTGCATCAAAGGGGAGATTATTAGGAATGTGTTCCTAGGGTTGGCAAAGGGGCAGACCCACCCAGTCCCTCTAAGCATTTTTTTTTGCTCGTACCTGCCCCATTACCTATTTAAGATGGGGCGAGGTATCGTTTTCATACCTGTTTAATTTAATTTTTTTTATTGTTTTTGATAATTCATTTTAGTGCCCCTATTTATTCAAGTGAGACAACAAGATAATTCTTAAAATTTTTAATCAATTAATTTATTTTTAAAAGTTAAATTATTCGAATATATTTGGTAAGCTAAGACTTTTATTATTTATCATTTCCTTAGATAATCTTGATTGCCATCTGTTGACCTATGGTTGACTTCATCTTTAATGTTTTGATTATCTCAAACAAATTGTGTTTATGTTTAACAAATTGAATTCAAGTGTTGATAGTGACTACTGCAAAATCTAGATCAAGAGACATGCATATGGATAAATAATTCTGAGGATTGACGAACATAAAGATGGAAATCAAGTATTGACGTCAAGAATCATTTTGAAGAAAAAAATCGATCACTAACCATGAAGACATTAGATATAGACGATGTAAATTTATATGTAAAGGTAAAACACCTCAATTCTTAGCATCGACTATTGATCAAAATAATTTTGATGCAAGAGAACAAAATCACACCAGAAAAGAATATTTG